CAAATTAAATAAAAAATAAAAAAAAAATCAGTGAAGCTCCTCCCACGCTGGAATACATCATCAGTGAAGCTCCTCCCACACTGGAATACATCATCAGTGAAGCTCCTCCCACAGTAATTCTCCAATAAAAGCTTTTTAAAATGATTCCCATCCGCTACAAGTGAAGACCAGCATGAAAGCTTCAGGAAGAGCTGAAATCTCCCAAGACTGAGTTTATTAAAGAGGACAGTGAGAACACGAGTGATCCAGAACCTGCAGAATGAAACACACTGAAGATCCTGAAGAACAAAGAGGTTGGTGTTTATTCCTCATTCATTCATGATGCTGGAGAACATTCATGTTAGAAACATTCAAGCACTTCATCACATTTAGATAAACAGTTCAACTATGAAATGGTGCAGAATGTTCTGGGTTTTTCTTCAACAAATGGTCAGTAAATGGAGGTTTGAGACATGTTTATGTTGTTTGTCAACATCAGATCAAACTAAATACAATTTTAACTGTTTTATTTTACATTTATTTTATATCTGGTTCCCAATTTGCAACAACGTTACCAGGATTAAAGTCATTTTCAACATAGTTTACAGGAATAATCAGTAAACACCAAGTTACTGATAAAGTTGTATTTGTCAAATATAATATAAGTTATTCATATTTATAGAGATTCTTCTTACAGTAACTTTGGTAACAGGGTTGATGAATACAGTCAATGCTACAGTTTGTGTAAAAACTGAGACAATGGATTGAGGTTATTCTCTTGTCTTCCCATCATGCAGTAGAAAGAGCCCAGATGATGTCACTTCCTGAGTGTCACAGTTCTAAGAAATGCTCTGTTTTTAAAAGGAGGAAAATCATGCCAGAAGTAACAGGGTTGAGTGAAACATGTAGGACACAAATAATAATAATAATAGTTGATTTAAAAATAGTTAAAGCTGACGCATAAATAGTTGAGCATGTGACATTTCTACAGACACTGCAGTCATGAAATGAAAAATTACTCTTTTAATAATAAACTTATGTTTAAACACTGTTTAAACATAAGTTCAACACATATCAAAGTCCACTCCACTTGAAATCTAAACGCTTGTTATTTCTCACAGGGTTATTCACTTGAGCTTGTGTTTCTGGTGTCCCACTTTCACAGGCGTATGAATGGAAGTCTAGTGTGAACGGCCATTAATAATTAAAACATTTTTAGCAAAATAAATACTAATCTCAAAGTTGGTGTCAAAATATGGCAGTATTGTATAGTTTAATGTTATTATCATGTTAGATAATTGTGTCATTGATCAAATATATTTCATAGTTCTTGCTAAAGAAACATGTGCCTATAATGTTTTAAAAATAATAATTGGAAGTTAAATTTACCTAATTTATGGAAAGTTTCAAGGACATATAATCAATTTATAAAAAGGCATCAAATTATCATAATATTTTATAGCAGTTGTCTACTTTCTACCATTACATCAGGGCTCACTTTCATGTCCTTTCACTTTATATTTCTCTCTTTGAATTATTTTAATGTTTTTCTCGATTGTTTACACACATTTTCTGAAAGAATGCCTCATATTCTCAGAACTCTACACACAAATCAAAAAACACACACACAATGGGGCAAAACCCCTCAATTCTCCTGCAAAATGAAACTTTTTTTTACATTCATTATTTCTTCTCAAAATGGTATTTAGTTTTCAAATGACACACACAAACCATCATTTGAATAGACATTTATAAGAACCAGTTGAACACAGATGCGCTCAATGTAAAACACTATGGTGAATGGAAAACACTTCTCCATTCATCATAATGATTTAGGCCTTTTTTTTGGTTCAGTGTTACACTTACTACAGACAGTACATACATAAGTGTGTTGTAAAATATTTGAGAATATTGTTTTTATACTCAGAACACACAAATACACAAATATATTTTATTTTCCCCACAAAAACAATGTACACAGTGTACATCCCATTCCCAACCAACACAAAAGTTGCACATACACTACATTCACAACAACAGAAGAATTTACTGTACACAGTTACAGACATTGTGATGTTCCCTCCGCGCTGGCCGATGATATTCCTTCCCCTCTTTCGTCTCTTTGTGAGGTTGAACCCAACCTCTTCAATGAAGATGAACTGGTGCTCCACTGCAGCCACCTCTAGCTCAAGGACTCTCTGAAACACACATGACAATATCAGAAATAGACATGGCGTGGTCACTATTGTGAAGCACAATCATTATGATTACAATATTGAAATATGTATACTGCCGTGCAAAGGCAAAAGACCGTAACTTCGTTTTTGGTCGAAAATGAGTTATTGATATTTTTGGCACATTCAAGACCTCCTTTATCATGTGGATAAGTATCGTGAGTCAATTCCGTTGTTTTTTCGAGAAAATAATGGGTTGTCTTAACCGTAACTTCCAAAAGCCCATGAGAAACCAAGGCAGAACACCGTAACACCAGTTACCGCTCTTTGGCTTAGTTTTGGAACGCTCATATCGAGTTACGGTACTCTGCCTTTGTTTAGCCGCGCGTCAATATGAAGTTACGGTGCCGGTGTTCTATCAAATAATGCTACCTATCAGATTATACGGTGTTCTGCCTTTGTTTTACTCTCCATTAATATTGAAATTACGATGTAGCCTGTGTACTTTGTGCAGCTACCATCCGTCCCTGTAACTTCTGATGTCCTCAGAGCTTTGTCCTGCACTGATGCGGTCAGAACATTTAGTATGCTCTTAACCCGCTCCATCGACAAAAGTGCGATATCGATCGCGAAGGATATATGCAGAGTTGACAGAAAAATGTTACTCATGCCGAAGCAGGTCAATACAACAAAGAACTAAAGCCCCGCCTCACCCAGTTCGGGTACCGGACCTAGTTGAAACAACCATGCATCTAGCTGGCAGAGTCCCAAAACTTCGCCGGCGCCTTCAGCTCCGCCCTGAACACGGCCGAGCCGACGCGCAGGACTAATATATCACAGGGAGTGATAATAATGAAGCAACAAGGGTATATTGTCGCATACAGCATAATGAAGCAAGAAGTGCTGCTGGTGCATACAACATCAGAACAGCTGTTAAAAGCATGCATACAAAACACAGCGTCCGGAATAAATCCGCGGGACGAGCGAAGTGCACGCACAATAATAGGGCAGACAGCTGAAACCAACGCTACTGAAAAGACGCAGAAAACAGAAGGTCGTGCTATAAATCCATTAGTCGTCTAGGTAGTCCAGAACGCGCTCCCTACTGAGTCCTAAGGGGTAACGTAAAGCACTGCATAGGCTACTTTTCGTGAACGGAGCGTGACACCTTCGAACACGAATCTCTGTAAACAAACGCCTGTGAAAGTATGCGTCTTTCAGATCCACCGCTATAAACCAGTCTCCGGGTCGAATGTGCGCGAGGATCTGTTTTATCGTGATCATTTTGAACGCGTGTTTAGCAAGTCTTATGCCTACCACTTGAAGATACTCTTAGACAAAATACCTCCATAGCGGTAAAGACTAATGTATAGGGCCAGCAGAATTCAACCAAAGCACAATAAGTAGAAGGCTATAATTGTAAATCATACAAAATAAATGCCATGATCACTAGATCTTATACAGGTGTTACTATAATGATTTTGTTAATGGTGATCAGCAACCAAATATTGATAATGTGGAAGTTACGGCCTTTTGCCTTGGCATGACTTCTCACTTTTTGCTGACAATACAAAGGCAGAGTACAGTAACGTTAAAATAGTGGTCAAAAGTCAAGTTTGAGCTCAAAATTTTGTTATGTAGATCATTTTCATTACTTAAACATCTAATTGCCAGATTTTCAGTGTCCTACCCATAATTAATTTGGCGGGACAACTAAAAATCTTTAAAGTCATTTTTCTCAGTTCCACACTCTAGCGAGTTAAGGTCTTTTGCCTTTGTAGGGCAGTATAATTTACTGTATACAATGTTGAGAGTATGCATCAATTGTGGGACTCACTTGCACATAGTTACATCGCAATTCTTTGACTCTTTCTGAATTGCGTTCAAATGGCCCCCTGTAGACCTGCTTCATCCTGACATGATTTCTGCGCAAGACACGGTCCAGTGTTGATAAGCTTACCCTATCAATATTTTTAAATGTGTCATTGTTTTCTATTATTTTTCTTTGTATTTGCTGTAATGTTCCTGACCACCTTGTGTTGGTAATCTTTCAGTTCTGCCACACAAATAGTAAAATACTGTAAATACAAAGTAGGTATACATTCCCTAAATACTTGAAACATACTTAACAGTATTTTTACAGTCCGACAGAACAGTCCACAGGCAATACTGTACTACTGTATTGATATGCAGTACTGCAATTTTCTAGTGGGAGTAGATTTCTTACCTATTCTCATTTCGGAAAGTCTGGATGATGGATGCTACAGTGTACCTGCTCAGATTTGGTTGTACTCTTTGCCCAGCCTCCCTCATTGTTAGAACATGGTTGACCACATGATCAACCAAAGTGGCTCGGATCTCATCAGAGATTACGGTCCTTGGCCTTCCTCGTCCTCCCCATCCTCCTCCTCTTACTCTCACTCCTCTGGCTCTGCCTCTGTTTCCAAGGTTGGCATCCATTGCTCCATTGAAGAGCTCACCTGTTGCCCTTTTATGCTAAAGCTCTGATTGCTAAGTGTAAAACTGTGTGACGGGTGTTTGCCCTTGTGATGAGTCAGTGTGCATATATGAATGGCAGTGTGTTCCTTGTGAAAACAAGATACTTTCTGCATGAAAATTGTGCGAGAGATTGTGTGTAGTGTTTTGAAAAAAGTGTGTTTTAGAACTGCAATTTGAGTGTAAAGCAGGAATTGTGCTTGTGGTTTAGCAGAATTGGTTCAGGGGGTTGGTGAATGAGTTACATGTTGTGGTCATTGTGTCTCAAGTACCAGAATTTGTGTGTAAACAATTGAGAAAAACTGTAATGTTCTGAAAATTAAATGTAATATTTTTTTTCTTGTCAGACCTGATGGAAGAGAGCGAGGAGAGTGAAGAACTGAGTGAAGTGGAGGAGGAGAGAGAAGAACTGAGTGAAGTGAAGGAGGAGAGAGAAGAACTGAGTGAAGTGAAGGAGGAGACTGAAGAACTGAGTGAAGTGAAGGAGGAGAGAGAAGAACTGAGTGAAGTGAAGGAGGAGAGAGAAGAACTGAAGGAGGAGAGAGAAGAACTGAGTGAAGTGGAGGAGGAGAGAGAAGAACTGAGTGAAGTGAAGGAGGAGAGAGAAGAACTGAGTGAAGTGAAGGAGGAGAGAGAAGAACTGAGTGAAGTGAAGGAGGAGAGAGAAGAACTGAGTGAAGTGAAGGAGGAGAGAGAAGAACTGAGTGAAGTGAAGGAGGAGACTGAAGAACTGAGTGAAGTGAAGGAGGAGAGAGAAGAACTGAGTGAAGTGAAGGAGGAGAGAGAAGAACTGAGTGAAGTGAAGGAGGAGAGAGAAGAACTGAGTGAAGTGAAGGAGGAGAGAGAAGAACTGAGTGAAGTGAAGGAGGAGAGAGAAGAACTGAGTGAAGTGAAGGAGGAGAGAGAAGAACTGAGTGAAGTGAAGGAGGAGAGAGAAGAACTGAGTGAAGTGAAGGAGGAGAGAGAAGAACTGAGTGAAGTGAAGGAGGAGAGAGAAGAACTGAGTGAAGTGGAGGAGGAGAGAGAAGAACTGAATGAAGTGAAGGAGGAGAGAGAAGAACTGAGTGAAGTGAAGGAGGAACATCATGTCCAACCTGGAGGAAAACCCTTGAGTCGCTCAAAGACTAAACAGACATTTTTAAAGAAAAGAAAAGCCAAGAAATCTTTCACCTGCACTCAGTGTGGGAAGAGTTTCACACGCAAACAATATCTTGATGGTCACATGAGGATCCACACCGGAGAGAAGCCGTTCAAACCTTACAAGTGTTCACACTGTGACAAGAGATTCAGTCACTCAAAATCTCTGAAAGTGCATGAGAGGATCCACACTGGAGAGAAGCGGCACATGTGTGATCAGTGTGGAAAGAGTTTTGCTTTTAAATGTCACCTGAAGCTTCACATGAGAGTTCACACTGGAGATAAGCCGTTTAAGTGTGATCAATGTGGGAAAGATTTCAGTCAATCTTCATACCTTAAAGATCACATGAGGATCCACACTGGAGAAAAGCCGTTCACATGTGATCAGTGTGGGAAGAGATTCACACGCATAACAAGTCGCAATCAACACATGAGGATCCACACCGGAGAGAAGCCGTTCTCATGTGATCAATGCGGCAGAACATTTTCTAGTACATCAGCCCTGAAGACACACCTGACAGTTCATATGAAGGAGAAGCCACATTCATGTTCTGTGTGTGGAAAGAGTTTTTCACTAATGTCATATTTACACGTACATGAGAAAACTCACACTGGTGTGAGAGAGTACATGTGCTTTGAGTGTGAGAAGACTTTTACTACAGCGGACAGTTTAAAACTACACCAGAGAATCCACACTGGAGAAAAACCTTACAAGTGTTCACACTGCGACAAGAGATTCAGTCATTCAACACATCTGAAAACACATGAAATGATCCACACTGGAGAAAAACCTTACAAGTGTTCACACTGTGACAAGAGATTCAGTCAGTCATCATCTCTGAAAACACATGAGATGATCCACACTGGAGAAAAACCTTACAAGTGTTCACACTGTGACAAGAGATTCAGTCAGTCATCAAATCTGAAAACACATGAGAGGATCCACACTGGAGAGAAGCCGCACACGTGTGATCAGTGCGGGTCGAGTTTCTCTACTAAAAGTCACCTGAAGCGACACATGAAGATCCACACAGTGGAGAAACCACTTAAACACAGTCTGAGATCACGGTAAGTAGTTTATTTTCATGTGCTGAGCAACAAAGTCTCTTCTGTGTAAGTCAGACACACATCACCCTATAGCCAAATCTCTCCTCTCCATCTATAGCCGGCAGTGTTTGGAATAACGCCTTAAAAGAACGGCGTTATTTTTTCAGTAACGAGGTAATCTAACTATTTATTTATCCCGTTGTTACAACGCCGTTAACGTTACTCGGCGTTAAATGCGGTGCGTTACCACCACGGGCGTCATTTTCATAAGTGCTGGGTACCAACTTGTCAAACTGCGCAGCCTCTCTGCTCAACCGGTAAATAAATCCATCGATCCGGTTACGGGTTCTAATCTAATACGGGTTCAATTGGAAACAAAGCATCTAATTCTTGCAATATTTTTCAGATGATAGTATACTGATTTAGTTATTGCTTTGACATGACTTCTGAAACTAAGGTCTGACTCTAGAGACACACCAAGATTCCTGACTTGATTTTTAGTTGTTAGACCCCTAGCGTCAAGGTATGCATTCACCTTGAGAAGTTCATCTTTGTTTCCAAACGCAATGACTTCAGTTTTGTCTTTGTTTAACTGAAGAAAGTTTTGGCACATCCAACCGTTGACTTCATCAATGCATTGGCACAGGGAGTCAATGGGGCTGTAGTCGTTAGGCAATAGGGCTAAGTAGAGCTGTGTGTCGTCTGCATAGCTGTGGTAGGAGATTCGGTTCTTTCTCATTATTTGGCTCATTGGGAGCATATAAAGGTTGAATAGGAGTGGTGCAAGAATTGAGCCTTGAGGGACTCCGCATGTCATGGATGTCCACTCAGACTTATAACAGTTTTAATTTCTTTTGCCATATTGTTTTCTGCATTATCTATGGGAATGTTAAAATCTCCAGCAATGGCAAAACAGTCAATTTCTCTGAGGAAATTGTTGATAGCAGTTCTGTAAAGTCCTCAGCAAAGGCTGGAGAGAATTTTGGAGGCCTGTAAATAATGATAAGTAAAATACGTGGGGCACCTTTTAACACAATACCCAGATATTCAAAAGACGGGTAATTCCCAAATGATATTTGCTTACATTCATAGACATCTTTAAAAAGAGCAGCTAAGCCCCCGCCTCTCTTACCCGCTCTGCAGACACTCATAAAAGTAAAGTTAGGAGGGGATGTTTCATTGAGGATTGTTCCACTGCAGAAAGTTAAGAAAAGTTTAAGTAAGAAATTTAAGAAAGTTACTGTTATCATAGCGGGGACCCGACACATATCACTGAGAGCTGGTATCAGTTGTTTTTGGTTCACCTCGAGCCGATGGAGGAGGGTGTGTGCCCTGGCGCTGTGGCAGAGGAGCTCTCACAGGAGGAGGGGGAGGGCGAGCTGGGCCCGCAGGCTTTGGTGGTTGTGGGGCCTGCCGTTTTTTGGTGGACATCTGGGGGCTTGCAGCAAAAGAGTGGGATAGTTTGGTTCCAGCATACACCAGATTTTCCATTTTTTCTGAGAAGCACAGAAGTGGAGATGTTGGAGAGAGGGATAACGTGTCTGGGGAGAGGGGCTGTTGCTCTGGTGTTATCCGAGGCTGTAGTATGCTGTCCTGGTTTCCATCGCTGTTTTCCAGAAAGTCGTCCTTGGGAGCTGAATCTTGGAGCAGTTCTAATATGTCCCGGTCTGTCTGTGGTGAGCTCTGTGAGATTGTGTCCGTGATCAGAGGTTGTTGTGGTTGCATGGTGTTATCGTTGTCCTTGTGTGATATGTCAACCGCATGTCCATTCAGGTGCTGAAGTGAAGTCCTGTGGTCATTCATACTGTGTCCAGGTGTGTGTGTGTCATTCAGGTTGAGTGGATTGGCACACACTGCAGAAGGATGATTGAGGGAGAAGTAGATATTGTCCTTTAGCACTCTTGAACCAAGTTTGTTTGGGTGGAGCCCATCCTGTTGAAACAGTTGCCTCTGACTCCAGAAAAGATTGAAGTTGTCAATGAAGTTCACAGTTGCAGTTTTTTGCAGCCATGTGTTGAGCCCAAGCAACCGTGAAAACCTGTTTGTTCTTTTGCTGGAAGTGGTCCACTGATGAATGTCTGAACTTTCAGTCTTTTAAGTGTTTCAAAAAGTTAATTGAAATCCTTATTAAGGAGTTCTGACTGCTCTTTATGAATATCATTTTTCCCCACATGAATGATTAGTCGATTTGCAGGCTTATGTTTCATCATAATGTTCTTAAGTTCCCTATTTACATCAGAAGTCGTTGCTTGTGGAAGGCAGCACGTAGTTGTATCCCTGCTAATAATATTTCTGATTATGGAGTCACCCTCTATCAGAGTCCTGTGCTCGGCTGCGCTCTGAGCTGAGTGCCGCTGTCTGCTCGACCTTGAGCGCCAGTTAGCAGTGTTAGCTACTGGCTTATTCAGTCTGTGTTCGATCACATTCATCACATTCAGGGATTCCTCATTCATTAATACTTCAAATCTGTTCTCAAGATGTATAGGCGGTGGTAGGAGACCAGTGTTTGCAATCCTTGTCAGAGCCGTATCTGGGGTAGAGGAGGCTACTGCGGCAATATGTGATACTCGTGACAATCTGATGTCTCGAGTGCCTTTGGGTCTCGCTCCCTGTTTGTGCCATCAATTTGTAAGTCGATCGGCTTGTTTCTCTACACTAGTCTGCCTCGCTGCCTGCTGTGAGTTTGTTTGCGCCATGGCTGTCTAAGCCTCGTATTAGCTTCGCATTTCCTTCTGTTTTTCCGTATTTCTTTCTTTTATTCTATTCTGAACCATCATTTAACTCATAATTACAACTTGGACTGTTGGCCAGACACGTCTCAAGCCATTATACGGCTGGAACCGCAAATACGGTTGGAACATTTGGTTGTTGGTTGTAGAGCGAGACACTGCTTCACTGCTGCTCGGCCCTACGATCGATTGCCAGACGCGTTCTTTACACTCACTTACAAACGAATATTTTCCTGTCTATCGTGCGTCTACATTACACCCGTACCACTAAAAAGACGGATTATACCCAAGACTTGAGTCATAAATTAGTATAAATATTAATAGCATCACTGGTTGCATAATTGCTAACTTCCTGTCCATCTGTTAAAATGGCGAATATATCAGATGTATGTTATACCTCTTGGTGCAGATGAGAACAAATCTGATTTGCTCGCGGTGCAGTCTGAATTAGAGGCTGTAGAAAAACAGATCCGTGACCTTCTAGAGACACAAGCTGAGCTGAGAGACCGGCGTTTAGCTCTTGAAACATCACGCGCTGATGCACACGGATCAGTGATTAACGTTAGTAACCCGCTGACGCTGACCACGTCTACTCCGTGCGTTTCTCAGCATTGGTCCCGAGCGTCCAGGTCACGATCAGCCATGGTTTCATTCACTCCGGCTCCAACACACCACCACGAAGCCTGGGTGGTTCCGCGGAAGCCGCGTGCCAGGACAAGAATCTTTTCGCCCCTCCCGGTTTTGGAGATCTCCACCCAGAACCGCTTCTCCCCTCTTCGTGAAACGGAACGCGATGCTGTGATCATCGGCGATTTCACGGTCCGACACGTCCACGCTACGTTAGGTAAAAGTAAGGTGCACAGTCATTGCTTTCCTGGTGCTCGTGTTCTCGATATCACTGCGCGGGTAACTGAGATCTTGAACGGTGATGAGCGCGTTGGAGCTGTTGTGCTGCACGCGGGAGCTAACGACATTAGGCTGCGACAGACGGAGGTTCTGAAGAAAGACTTCAGGAGCCTTATCGATACGGTACGCAGAACATCGCCTGAAACATCGATTATTGTGTCTGGACCGCTTCCTACATACCGACAAGGGCATGAAAAGTTCAGTAGATTATTCATGCTAAATGAATGGTTATTGTCATGGTGCAATGAGAAGAAACTACTCTTTGTAAATAATTGGAATCTGTTTTGGGACCGACCGAGGTTCTTCCGCGCAATTTCTAAAGCTAGGTCTTCTAAACATTAGATCGCTCACACCTAAGGCGGTTATTGTAAATGAAATGGTCACAGATAATAATTTCGATGTTCTGTGCCTTACTGAAACCTGGCTTAAACCAAATGATTATTTCGGCCTAAATGAGTCTACTCCGCCAGGATACTGTTATAAGCATGAGCCCCGTCTGATCGGTCGTGGCGGCGATGTTGCAACAATCTACAGAGATATCCTTAATGTTACTCAGAAAACTCGCCACAGGTTTAATTCGTTTGAAGTACTTGTGTTAAATGTTACGCTCTTAGATGTAAGAAAAAAATCCCTATTATCTCTAGCCTTGGCTACTGTATATAGACCTCCAGGGCCCTACACTGATTTCCTAAAAGAGTTTGCAGACTTTCTATCAGATCTATTGGTCAACGTCGATAAAGCATTAATTGTTGGAGATTTTAACATACACGTAGATAATTCAAATGATGCGTTAGGGACTGCGTTCACAGATTTATTAAACTCCTTTGGGGTCAAGCAAAACGTCACCGGACCAACTCATCGTCTTAATCATACACTCGATTTAATTATATCATATGGAACCGATCCAACCGATATAGATATCATTCCACAAAGTGATGATGTCACGGACCATTACATGGTAACTTGCATATTACGTAGGCCTACTGCTGTAATATGTCATGCTGCGCCACGTTATCGACCAGGTAGAACAATTCTTCCATCCACCATAGATCATTTCTCAAATAGCTTATCTGATCTGACTCAGCTGCTGCCCGAACCCAAACAAACAGATGAACTAGACGAATTAACTAGCACTATGAGCTCCATTCTCTTTAGAACATTGGATACTGTTGCACCCATTAGATTGAAAAAGGTCAGAGAAAAAAGTATAGCACCATGATACAATAATACTACGTATGTTTTAAAGAGAGAAACCCGTAATTTAGAGCGTAAATGGAAAAAAACTAATTTAGAGGTCTTTAGAATCGCGTGGAAAGACAGTGTGTCGCGTTATAAAAAGGCCCTTAAAACAGCCAGGGCTGAGCACCTCAGCAAACTAATAGAAAACAACCGAAATAATCCAAGGTTTTTATTTAATACCCTGGCTAGACTAACAAATAAACAGACGTCACCTGAACAAAATACCTCGTTACAGTTTAGTAGTAATGATTTCATGAACTTCTTCACCGAGAAAATTGAAAGCATCAGAACCACAATCGTAAACGCTCAATCTTTGCTCGCGCCTTATAATTCAGCCGCAATTATCACCCCGCAAGAACAACTACAATGCTTTACAACCATTGAACAAAAAGAGTTCAATAAACTTATCACTTCATCTAAAACAAAAACATGTTTATTAGATCCTATACCAACTAAACTATTGAAAGAAGTGTTACCTGTAGTGGAAGAGCCTCTTCTCAATATTATTAACAAGAACGTTCAAGCTGGCAGTTATAAAACCTCTTATTAAGAAACCACAATTAGATCCAAATAACCTAGCAAATTACAGACCCATCTCAAATCTTCCATTTATGTCAAAAATATTAGAAAAAGTTGTGTCCGCTCAACTCGGCTCTTTCTTGCAAGAAAACGACATCTATGAAAAGTTTCAGTCTGGATTCAGGCCACATCATAGCACTGAAACTGCGCTCGTTAGAATCACAAATGATTTACTTTTAGCTTCGGACCAAGGCTGTATCTCAGTACTAGTTTTACTTGATCTTAGTGCTGCGTTCGATACTATAGATCACACAATACTCTTAGATCGACTACAAAATTACACTGGTGTTCAAGGACAAGCATTAAGCTGGTTCAGGTCATACTTATCTGACCGCTACCATTTAGTCTACTTAAATGGAGAAAAATCGATCATAACTTCGACAAACTATGGAGTGCCGCAGGGATCTGTGTTAGGCCCTTTATTATTCTCAATATATATGCTGCCACTTGGTAATATTCTAAGGAAACATGGAATTAGTTTTACTGACGTCTTTCCACGGCTGAAACACTGATTGAGTGATTCCATGTGACATGATACGGATTTCGATGAGTTGTACTTTTACACACTTTTACACACTTTCAGATGCTCATTCATGTTTATTTGGCGCTGTAACTGGTGTTGGCGCACATTTAAGTCGTTTGCACGCGTGTTTCGGGCGTGCTGTTTCCTTGTGGCTTAAAATAATTAAATAAGATAAAATAATAAACTTTGAAAAGTCTGAACTTAACGTCGGATATGCCAATCCATTTATTAACATAACGAAAAATAAAACATTTATTCAATAATAACTTAACTCAAGTCAGTCTCCATAATTACACGCCGTGCCTCACGTTCAAAAACCATGCACCTCGCTGTGCGCCACACCAATTTCGTGTGAAAATGGAATTTGAATCATGAGACTTTGTTTTATATCAATAGTAACAAAGCACAAAGACTATTGCGATTTATTGGATGCGATGCGCTCTACCATGTTCCATTCATTCATCAACTGAAAACAGAATGACTAATCGATTATTGGGATTTAGGAATCAATATCGGTTTGTAAAAATGAGAATCGATTAAAATCGAGAAATCAATATTTTTTACCCAGCCCTAGTATCCATCCATTGAGTTTATTATTATTATTATTATTATTGCAAGTGACTTGTTGTTTTTCCAGTTCATAATCAATTATCATTCAGCTGCAACTTCTACAACACAACAATGTTAAAGTTGTGATCTTCATTTCTCTAAGTCTTCTTTCTACCGCTGTGATTTTCAGGAGCTGAAGGTCCATCAGAGGATCAGGAGTGTCTAAGGATTGCTCTGATCAGGAAGACAGGAAATGGGAAGAGTGCAACAGGAAACAGTATTCTGGGAAGAGATGAGTGTGTGAGTGAATGAAGACTAGATTCAGTCACGAGTGTGTGAAGAGAGAGTTGGTGAAGTTGATGGTCGATCAGGAGCTGTTGTTGAGACTCCAGGTCTCTCTGACACTGACACATGATCAACAGTAAATAAATACTGAAATGTGTTTGGATGTTGTCACCTGGAGCTCATGTGTTCATCATTGTGTTGAGTTTGGGAAGATGTGCAAGAGATGGACACAGTAGATCTGATAAAGAACATCTTTAGTTCTATTGTCTCTGGGTTTGATTTGCTTTGACTGATTTTTGTCATAATTGTCTTTAATTCTGTTTTTTTTTAAATGTTGCAAAAAAAAAGTGTTTTTTACCTGTGGATAACTAAAAGATATTGTGAAAGCAGGCATTTACTTCATTTTCTGTTGGTAATTAAAATGTATTGTATAACTTCTTATTAGCTCTGTTCAGTTGATTATACTTATCTGGGAAATGTAGGAGTGTGTTTTTTGAATTTTGTATATATATTTTTCTTTCCAGTTTCTGGTCAGAGAGGAAGCTCAGGGAAGTTTGTGCTGTTGCTTTTCTGTTATTATTTTAGGCCTTACTCTCTCCTGAAGATTTATTCCCTTTGTTAACCTTTTTGATATATGAAGGAAATAAATACTGTAACTTTTCCTTAAAGTGGTGTAATGTTTTCACTGTGAGACTGAAGTGTGTTCTGCACATATTTTCACATCTCTACATTATCATACTTCCCTTTGTCACCTCTCCTCCCGACCCCTAGACTGGGAGAGGAACGATCACGGATCGCTCTGAGACTTTAGGAAGATCCAAGCGCAGCTTCAGTGGAAAATCCAGAATCGTAGTCATACGCCAGACAAAGGGTCAAAACACTTGCACACAATCCACAATAAAAACACAAGAGAGAGCGCTCAGACGTGCAGTGTGACAACTACACAACCTCGCTGAGAAATGAGAGAGAGAACATGGTATAAATAGAGACAAACAGGTGAATGCAATAATTCATGATGAGTCTGGCAAAGGATTCTGGGTACTGAAGTTCATGGCTGAGTGGCTGAGGTCAGAGGAGGAGTGCCCTCTAGTGGCCGACCTGGACACAGCAGCTGGTGACTGAGACACAACACATGATTAAACACAATCAAACAAGCATTCCCTGCAAACCTCATAGACAAGGAGAACAATGTCTTCTCAAACTACAGGCAGCTCGATTTTATATGATGTCATCAGATAAAACAAATAAATAATGAGTCAAAACATCATCAATCCTTCTTTTTTTCTTTCCCAGGAATGTCCCATGAGCCACGTCAAAGTCCTTTTAGGCAAGTCATGCCACTCGGCCGCCATCTTGGCAACGCCTCCGGGCAGCTATTTCGGACTAACAAGACCAGGCTCCTATCTAAATGAATGGGCAGAGAGTCAGAACTGCAGTTTCACTGGTCACCGGAACATAAAAACTGCATGTATAGAAACAGCAGTAAAATATGATAAAAATCGCTGAAAAAGTTTGATGACTTTGCCCCAAAATAAGGTTTAAAACGCCTTTTCCCCCACAGGTTATACTTTTACTACGCATGCGCAAGGGTTTGAAGCACAGTATGTATGTCTCGCTCGCTCGCTCTAGATCCCGGGAGATTTGAACTAATTTGCGGGCATCAGGGAGCCGCTATTAATCTGCGGGAGACTCCCGGAACTTCCGCAAGACTTGGGATGTCTGATATTTACACAACTCTCACATACACTGCATATCCTTCGGATGAGACGTTAAACCAAGGTCCTGACTCTCTGTGGTCATAAAAAATACTCGAAAGAGTAGGGGTGTAACCCCGGCATCCTGGCCAGATTTGCCCTTTGGCCTCTGTCCATCATGGCCTCCTAATCATCCCCATATATATATATATATACACTGATTGGCTTCATCTCTGTCTCCTCTCCACCAGTAAGCTGGTGTGTGGTGGGCGTTCTGGCGCACTATGGCTGCCGTCGCATCATCCAGGTGGAGCTGCACACTGGTGGTGGTTGAGGAGATTCCCCCTTCCATGTGAAGCGCTTTGAGTGCCGAGAAAAGCGCTATATAAATGTAATGAATTATTATTATTATTATATCAAATCTGCCGCCTTTTCAAACAGTAACGTATTTTCCGCTGTCGCAAACCTCCACTGTGCGCATGCGTCAGTGGAACCAGACGATAGGCTTAAATGTTTCCCGGCTTGACTGTTAAAAGCAGACGATTGGCTTTCCAGCGGGAGGGGCGGGGCATGTGCAGACAACCGCCATCTTTGGCGTTACGGGTTTTCCCTATATAGTTGTATTGAGGATTGAGGAAGTGGCATGTCTCTATATAAATAGTCTCTGGCCACATTTCCACTGTCGGGCCAGGGCCGGGCCAGGGCTAACAGCGAGCCGAGCCGGGCCACTGGCCCCGGGCCTTAAGTATGTATTATATGCCCTGGACCGACAGTGGAAAGTTGTGTTATATGGAGACGTACACGCAAATATCACGTCACGTAGACACGTCAATAACGTGTAGCTGTCGATCTATGCCGCCCATCTTATGAAGTAGATGGAAAGACATATGTAGCAGATGGTCGATCTGAATGGCGATCCGTCTTAAGGATTCTGTTTTTCTAACGTTGTTGGACTGTTTTCGTGCCATATTTTTATTTCTTCATTGGGCACGTGTAACCCCTTTTTTCCTTTATCATATGTGGGTATATAGTATGATTTTAGCCTCTGTTTACATTCATGTCTGTGAAATACATTAGATTACCCAGCAAACTTACTACCTTCAGTGGGGCATTGGTCTGCGTGCACGGGAAGCAGTGTCGTTTTGCTCTTAGTGACAGGGGTTCAACTCCAAGGTCCGAGCCTATTTTTATCTCCACTTTGTTTCTTTTGTATTGGTCTGTTGGTGTATGTCTTTTAAATTTCGGAAGACTATCCGATAGCTGAAAACTGATTGGGTAGCAGGCGGTAGGCTACTTATTACGGAAATGACAGCAGCAGCTGTTTTAAGCCCGCTTACAGTGGCTGCTGTGGGTCCCTTTACTGCTGATTATAATCATTTAGATGGGCCTAGGTAGATGCTTCACGATATTATCATCACGCTGCCATTGCCTTAAAATAGACATTAATATTGCTAACAGTGAATAATATATTTTGTATTACCTTGTTCATTCTGATGTCATATAACGATTATAGGACGTTTTTTTTGTAACACTAAATTATTCATTTTCTGTTGAATCAGAATCAGAATTTCTGGCGTTATTTTTAGGGGACCATTGTGGGAAAAGGGCGCTAAAGATGGAAAATGTAATGGTTATTTTTTTTGCCAAGACTTTATTCAGTTATTTTACGGAATTTTCCGTTAACCCTAAACACAATACCCTCGGTAAAAATACACGGGAAAACTGTAAATATATTCTCGTATTATATATAATCATATAATACATGCCCTATTTTTATGGACTGTAAATAATAAAGTGTTGTGAGATGCCTGTATTTCCATAATGGCTAATGCTACATATTTTATTAGGTTTTCTTTTTTAAATGTGTATATATAAAAATAATTATATTGTATTTTTCTAAAATAAAATCTTGAATTGAATTGTTTCAGTCAAACTTGGACTCAGCATATATATATATATATATATATAGAAGCAGCGGGATCTGCGGACGTCTCGTAGAAGTAGCCATCAGAGGATGGGTACATGGTGGCCATAAAGGGATGGACATGGTCAGAAACAATGCTCAGACTTCCGGTTATGAGGAGTGCAGATTAGTCGCGCGCTCAGCCTGCTCCCGCCGTCTCATTTTTAATTTTCTTGCCAAACCTTCGAATTTTAATTTATACTGTCAGCAAAAGTTTAATAAACTGTAAGTGCTCGGAACACTTCATCATGTCTAAGGCTAAAGGAAAACATGCAGAAAAAGAGAAGGAGGGTTCTTCAACGGCTAGCATTTCCATGGCCGACATTAGCTCACTGCTGGATGAACACAGAGAGGCCCTTTCGGCTGATTTTAAATCCTCATTTGAGTCTCTTGCATCTACACTGGACAGCATTCATTCCACCATTACTGATCACGGCCAACGCATTGATTCTCTGGAAGTTAACGCCACTTCAGTTGACCAACGACTTCAGCATCTCGAGGGCGCCTACTCCGCTTTGCAGAAAGACAACGAGTTGCTCAAACTCAAAGTAGCTGATTTGGAGGGACGTAGCAGACGTCAAAACATTCGGATTATAGGCCTACCTGAATCGATTGAAGGTCCTCGTCCATCAACGTTCTTTTCTCAACTACTTGTTGATGTCCTTGGTACGGAGGTCCTCACTTCGCCCCCCTGAGTTAGATCGTGCGCACCGGAGCCTCGCTCCTAAGCCGGCTCCGGGAGGGAGACCGCGGCCTGTTATCTTGTGTTTCCACCGATTCCAAGTTAAAGACGTCGTAATTCGCGAGGCTCGTAAACGGGGTGTCCTGCTTTATAAAGGCCATACGATTCGCCTGTTTGACGACTACACCCCCGACGTGGTGAAGCAGCACGCCGAGTACAGAGGTCCCATGACGGAGCTATACAAGCGCGGGTTCAAGCCGGCACTTCTTTACCCGGCCAGACTGCGCATCACTCTACCCAACGGAGATAAAACATGGCTCCAGTCCGCTTCAGATGCTGTTAAATTCATCCAGGACCAGGACTTAAACAAGAACTCGTAAGCGAGCAAATTGGCACTTTCAGTCTGCGGCTGATGTTGCTAAAACGGTGCAGACCTTTTTCCTGCCTTATTACGGACGGTAAATGCATGTTACTTTTTTTTAATATAATGTAGGATGTGTATATATATATATATATATATATATTTATATATATATTTTTTATATATATATATATAAGTCTTGTGTATTTGGTTTCTTATAACATGCATCTTTGCACCGTACACCGGCTTTAAGGTGAATGCTGTTTTAGTATTTTCTGTTGTTTATATGACCTCACGGGTCTTACAAATCCAGGCCTTGTTTTTTTCAATGTGTTTTATTCGAGTTGTTTGATATGGTCTAATTGTTCTCTTAGGTTTAATTGCACTTGTTTGTGGGGGCAGTGCGATTGTTTTAGGGAAGTAGTAATATTCGCTGATCGTTGTATCAGAGGTGTGTTCGTTGCTGGTTTCGTTCTCTACAGCAACCGGGTTGGGGTTAGTATGTTTTGTGTGTGGTTTGGTTTCTTGTGCGTGTATGTGTGTGTGTGTGTTTTCCCTCTTTTTTC